ATACATTTGATACTTGGTTTCAATATTGGAAAGTGTCAAGCTCATCACTAACAGTGTCTGTATGTGAGACGTACATTTGATACTTGGTTTCAATATTTGAAAGTGTCAGTTCACTAACAGTGTCTGTATGTGAGACGTACATTTGATACTTGGTTTCAATATTTGAAAGTGTCACATTCACTTACAGTGTCTGTAGACACACATTTCATACTTGGTTTCAATATTTGAAAGTGTCAAGTTCACTAACAGTGTCTGTATGTGAGACATACATTTGATACTTGGTTTCAATATTTGAAAATGGTGAGCAGTGTCTCCCAAGAATTTTAACACAAAATTAATCTAGTACTAAATACAATGAAAACAGGAATTGTGAAACATACAATGTACATGCTGAAAAGCTTAATTCCTGATGAGAAGTCACTTGTAAACTATTTTGTTTTATTAACCAGAGACACCAGTGTATCCATCTGTTGTAATGAAAAAATAAATACTCTTCTTGAGTTTGGTGTTAAGTACATTTTGTATTTTTTCAGCAGTTATCTTCGATTTTCATAGATTTCATGTTGTTGATGTAGATAGTTAATGTTTCGTAACTCTAGCATATTTTGTGAAAGGAAGCTCCTTGTTTCTAATAAAATACGTTCTGTTAATTTTTATTCTCATCTTCCTATTCCTTTTTGGCTTTGTTGAGCTTCAGTTTCACAAAAAGACAATCCACTCTACTTGAGGCTGCATTTGCTTTCTATTGTGTTTTTGAGTGCTTCATATTACCATTATGTTTAGTTATAGATTCTTTCTTAAAAGAGCTGCAGCCTGTAATAAAATCTGTTTTCCTGAGGACATGTGAGCCTGATTTATCCAGTAACCAGCTGAACAATTTTAGAAAAGGATGGGTTCAGTATCTGATTCATGCACTGCTGCAGCTTTGAACTTTATTTGGTTTTGAGATGAAAGATATTTTGGGTGTCTGCTCAATGCACCTAACAGATTGTGGGTATACAAAGCTAGAATCAGTGAAGAAAGAGGTGCCAGTGACATAGATAGACAGTAAAGAACCATGTTATTTTTTTAATGCATACACAACAGGCATCATAATAGAATATAATACCAATGTGCAATAAGATTGTTGTAAGATATTGAGAAAAATGTCACCTATATGTGACTGAAATAACATTTACTGTCACCTGTGTAAAAAAATTATTGCCATGGTGACTGAAGCAGTCGCTGCTTTGAACACTAAGCTCAACAGTTCTGCAGTTAACTAACTTTTTTGAAGAACGAATGATGGATTAGTAGAAATACTACATATTTTTGACTGTACCAGATGTTAAATTCAATAGATTTTAAAACTTTAGAATTAATTAAATTAAATTTTAGACCTGATTTCTAGCCATCTTCTTGTGATGTGTGTTTTTATGTAAGATTTACATAAGAAACTAACATTCATTTACCATGTTTTCTGTGAGTAATGGTATGGTGTAATAAAGTGTGAATTTTCTGATAATGTAATATATCTTTTGTTTTTTAATTGTAATTTTACATTTTAGCTAAAGGGTGACAGATTATTTCCTGAACAAATCAAAATTGTTGAGGTTGGTCCCCGAGATGGATTACAGAATGAAAAAGTAAGTATATTCGAAAATACATCTTCGTCAAAAGGTTCTGATGATAAAAAAAGAGATAAACGGCTGTTGTCAGTATTACCTGTTGTATAGATCATTATATTTTTCTAAACCCTGTAATATCATGATTCTTTTTTACCAGTGTTCATACCCTTGACTACTTAGCTATTTTATATTACTAGATATTAAAAGATATGAACAATTTATTAAAGCATTGGTGGTATGTTATCTGTTACTGGGATGGGTATGCATGTTTAGGTGAGCATAGCTGTTCAATTTTTATGTCTGGAAAAAACAAAATTATGTTATTTTCAAGTACATTTTGTTTCATTGAGCTTTCAGGGAAAATGGAAAATTATTAATGTTCTATATCTTGTAATTTCTTGACTGCTTGAGGAGATCCTCGAAACCATTCTTGAAGGTTGAAACCCACAGCTTAAGAAATGTGGAATTGAGGAATAGATACTTAATACTATTTTCAGAATCCAAAAGATGAACTTCCCTCATGAGTAAAATTGATTATAATTTTCTCAGGACAATTGTTGATCTATAGAACTGAGAATCCATCTTATTCCCCTCATTAATCAGATTGGTGATGAAAGTTAATTATTTCAAAGTTCTCTACATTTTGTATTCCTCAGATTTGCAACTATTTTGATTTTACAGATGTAACGTTTCTATTAACTCTATATACCCACCAATATCATGTTTTGATGTGATACTTGTCTGTTAGTATTAACATGAATCAGATTGGTGATGAAAGTTAATTATTTCAAAGTTCTCTACATTTTGTATTCCTCAGATTTGCAACTATTTTGATTTTACAGATGTAACATTTCTATTACCTCTATATACCCACCAATATCATGTTTTGATGTGATACTTGTCTGTTAGTATTAAACTGATAGTTAATTCTTTATGCATCATACTGTTTACATATTACTGACCCGTTGGTAGTGAGCACCTTGTTAATAATTTTTACATATTGCTGATTTGTTGGTAGTAAACACCTTGTTTAGTATTTTTATGTATCACTGACTTGTTGGTAGTAAACACCTTGTTTATTATTTTTATGTATCACTGACTTGTTGGTAGTAAACACCTTGTTTATTATTTTTATGTGTCACTGATTTGTTGGTAGTAAACACCTTGTTTAGTATTCTTATGTACCAGTGATTTGTTGGTAGTAAAAACCTTGTTTAATATTTTTATGTATCACTGACTTGTTGGTAGTAAACACCTTGTTTATTATTTTTATGTATCACTGATTTGTTGGTAGTAAACACTTTGTTTAGTATTTTTATGTATCACTGATTTGTAGGTTGTAAACATCTTTTTATTATTTTTAAATATCACCACTCTTTTACGGTATCTCTCTACCCTCCATCTCCTCTCTGAGGCTCTCCACCAAAATCATGAGAGGTTTTCTGGTGAGTACTCTCCCTTCTTTCCTCTGGCTTTGCATACATACTTTTTGGGACCTTCTAGGGCATGATGCAACCTTAACTTGCATCAGTACAACAACAGTCTACCCTTTCCAATCTTGTTGCCTGTTTATCTCAGTCAGAGCCCAATATGGTACCTGATACAGTTTCCCGTCCTTCTCCTTCCCAAACCTTACCTGTCCCTCCTTGTCGGGGTGCCTCGTCTTGTCACTTTCTTTGACATCGCCAATAGTATTGGTGACTACCCAGTGGGAGCTCGCTTTGCCAATTTTCTTCATCAATGGTGTCCTTTTGTCAAGGATCATTGGGTTCTTGAAGTGTTTTCGGAAGGATTGATGATCCCATTTCTTTCCCTACCTCCTATGTCTTCTATACACATTTTCCTTACCTTATCCTAGGGATCCAATGACTGGCCAGCATCTATTGGAAAGTGGTCCAGGACCTACTATTTTTGTTCAACTGCCCCATTTTACCTTTGAGTCATTTCTCACCCTACAGTGGATATTTTCTCTGGGCTTATGGATGACCAAGATAGATGTCGCCAATGCTTATCTACACATCCTAGTCTCAACACGGTCTCATCCGTATCTTTGGTTCGTCCATCATGGAGTGGCTTACCAATTTTGGACCCTATCTTTTGGGGCTTGCTTCTACTCCTTATGTTTCCTGTTGGGTGGTCAGAGCTTTTGCTCACTCTCTTCATGCTCTGGTGCTGTGATTACACCATTTTATGGATAATTGGTTTCTTCTGGCTCATTCCAAACTGGAGATGACCAGCCATACTCTTCAGCTCCTTTATGTGGCTACTCGGGTGAGCTGGTTAATCAAATTGGAGAAGTCCTTCTTTTGTCCTACCCATTATCTTGTCCATTTAGGTGTCCTTTTCAACACTCATCTCAGTTGGGCCCAACCTTCTCTTCTACAACTTCGTTCCATGGAATTGTTAGTTCGCAACACCCTTTCAGCTCCATCGTGAGGTTCTATTGCTTTTGGGGATGTGGTCTTCAATGATGTCACTGATTCCTTGGTTGTACACATATGTGATCTATTCAGTGCGCTCTTCACGATCAGTGGAACCTAGCTCAGGATTCCTTGGCAACACTTGTTCCTCTTCCTCATACCCTGTTAGATGATCTGCTTTAGTGGTTGGACAAGGCCCATACATTGGCAAGCATCCCGCTTCCTCCTCCTTTTCTGGATTTACATCTGTTCATAGACACAATCCTTCAGGGCTGGGGTGCATGTGTCTATTACCAGGAGGCTTCTCGCAGTCTGTCAAGCTTTGAATCACTTCCTTCCTCTCAACAGACATTGTCTGGAGATGATTTTTTCTGACAATTCAGTGAAGGTAGCACATATCAATCACCAAGGAGGCATCCAGTCAAGATCTCTCTGTTTTTGTACATTGGATCTCCTATATTGGGCCCATGCACAACATTCATCTCATTGTGTGTCACATTCTGGGTGCTATCAATCTTGTAGCAGATCATCTTTCCCTCCTGACAAAATTTATCCGATGGGGTGGTCTCTAGATCCCCTCTTATTCTGGTGGTCCTGCAATCTGTGGGGTTTACCAAATGTAGATATATTTGCAACAGCTCTCAATAACAAATTACCACTCATTTTGTTTCCCTGTACCTCATCTTTAGGCTCCGGTGGTCGATGCCTTCATCCAGGATTTGTCCCACAACATAAATTCCTTTATGTTTATCTTCCTATCTAATTACTTTATCGTGTGGTCTCTCTCATTCATACCAATCCATGTCGAGTCCTTCTGATCACTCCCTATTGGCCAACTTAATTGTGGTTTCCACGATTACACAAACTGTAACTTTTCCCTCCAGTACCTCTTCCCTTGTCTCACTCCCTTCTTTGTCAACCTCGGTCACCGCTTCTACATCCTGCCATTTACGTCCTTCGTTTTCACGCCTGGATTTTATCTGGTCCTTGGCAAAGAGACCATGTTTCTCCCATCAAGTGGCTTTCCTTTTGGCTTGTTCCATACATCCTTCTTCAATGGAGGAGTATCAGCACAAATAAGTGTTCCACAGCTGGTCCACTACTCAGGGATTTCCTGCTGACCAACCTACTGTGGCTTGTGTGGCTGAATTGTTCACATGGCTTTTCAACCAGGGGTCTTTGGTCTCCTCGATCTCGGGTTATTTGGTTGCCTTATCCCATACCTTTCATTTTTCCCAATACCATTGAGTTTCTGATTCCCTTGTCCTTACCATGTTAATGCATTTCTTCTGAAATCATCAACCCTCCAGATGGCTTAGTCTTTCAGACTGGGATATTAATGTGGTCCTCCATTCCCTCACTTTACCTCCATTTGAACCTATTTCCTCATGCTCCATGTTTCACCTTTCCCTGAAAACATATTTCCTTCTCTTCTTAGCCTGTGGATGTTGAAGGTCTGATTTGTTCGCCACTGCACCTATCTTCTCTTTTTTTATCTGGATCGTTCCTTTCTCCGAAAGACCTCAGCAGCTAGGGAGAGTAACTTCTCCTTTTCACCTATTTCCCTTCCTTCCGTTTCTCATCTTTACCCTTGTCCTGATCAGGATAGATTTCTATGTCCAGTATGTACCATTCATACATGGCTTCTTTCCATGGTATCCATTCTTGACTTTTTAACCCTTGGCAGTTTTCCTTTGTTTGTGATCTATCCCAGTTGGGTTCAATGTTTGATTCAATTGGCTTATTCTTCCTTGTCTTCTTCCCACCAGAATTTGTTTAGGTTGTCTTCTCATCAGAATTGACACCTCATCTCTTCCCTTGTATCTCATCTTATTGGCCATTAGAGGAAATACTACAATCGGGCATATGGACTACACCTAATATGTTCATCTCCCATTATTTACACCATATTGCAGTATCATTTTCTTTGGATTTTCATCTGTGGCTGTTCTTCAGGCTTTGGGGCAACTTTGACTGGGTTAATCTATCTCATACATTCTTTTCTCTTCAAGAGCCTTTGCTTCATTTATTCTTTATAGGGATTCTGCTGTGTGGTGAGTGGTGCCTGATCAGGTATTCTTCAATCAGAAATCTGCACTGTACAGCCAACTTGACTCGCGCTTTAACTTTCATGGCTTCCCATTGCTCACCGTTGAGATGGGGGGTTCCTCAAGATCACTTGTAGGTGAATAACATTGTGATGTAATTGCTTCTTAAACTTGCCCATTCTGGACTGTATCACCCATGGATAGCTGCCTATCCCTGCCATGCCTTGTATTGAATAAATTGGTATGTTATGCTTTTCAAAATAGAGTTTTGTGATCACCCATTGCACTGTCTCAGGTGATGACATTCCTACTGACTCTCCAACATGTTCTCACCCCTTTCTTCTAGTGGAGTGTGGGAGTCCTTACCATTTTCCTGTTCCAAGCTGCTGGGATGGTCAACCGTAGAGGCACCCTCCTAAATGGGTTTCACACAAAGATGGCTATAACCATTCACTGCAGAATAGGGTGGTGGTGTTCTGCAGGTGTAGATGATGTGATACCATCCACTATGCATTATACCATGACTAAGGAGTGATATGTCAAATTGCAATTCACCCATTCCATTGGGAGCCCTCATCCTACCCCAGGTGGATGTCAGTACCCCATTGCTGGGTTTTGGATTTATAGTAGAACCAATCAACATCAGTCCTCACACATGTTTTTCGTTGTATAAATTCCTCCCTCGATTATACTTCTTCTGTGTTGCTATCCCTCATGTATCTTATTCCGAGGATGTTATTGCTTTTTGGATGGTTTTGGTCAGTTTTGCTGTTGGGGGAGTTGATTTATATTTAATAGACATCCTTTTGATACCAGATGTTGGGTCCCTGGATCGATATATCAAAGCTAACACATGTTATGTTCTGGAGTCAGAGTGGTTCTAGATTCCATCCAGTCTCTTGAACTTGAGGTGAAGATAGTATGATCCTCATCCTACCCGTGCATGGTTGTTGGTTCCAAGCGGCATGGGTTTTGGATGTAGTTGACTTACCAAGTACAGTCTGTTGCACCCTAGCCACTCTACACCTAGGGGCACATCCATTGTTTTACCAACTTTTATACTTGGTGGAATTCAGTTACATACATATTTACATGGTTAGGAACACTATCCTGCCACAGTTCTCTCCCACTTGGATGTACTCCTCTATTTTTCTGCCAACACACTTCATGGATGGGTGAAGATTATACCTGGTTAGAAGTGGTGCGGTTCCCCCCTCATCAGATCTTCGGATCCTACTCTCATTTCCAGGGGTATCCTTTGGATGCTTTTGAGGGGTACTTCTGTCATTCTCTTATACTGGTCCCACCTCCTAATCAATGTGGGATTCTAGATAATCTTGTGAGAAGAGGGAACTACCGTATTGGAAATTGTAATTTTCCTATATTGAAAATGTATTTCTGATAGGTACTTCCCTCGCTCACACTTCCAACCCTTCCTCCCCAATTTCCTCTAGTGTTTACGTCTTCCGCCAAACTTCGAAGTTATAGTTCAGTAAAGGCACATAGAGGAAGTCACATGAGTATGTCACACTCCTATTGGTGGTGAAGTGATGCATGATGATTTGCATGAGAGACATGTTGGAATCATTCAACTCCAATAGGGAAGAGCAGAAGGCTTTTGGCATGCGTAAAGAAAAATCATTTGTATATAGAAGGCAGCACTGGATGAGAATAGCTAATCTAGTGAGAGGAGGGAAGTACCTATCGGAAATACATTTTCAGTATAGGAAAATTATAACTTACAAACAAGAACACCTAGTGTTAGCTTGTCTCTTTATTAAAAATATTTACATGGCCATTTTGTCATGTTTTAGGAAGTTTACATGTAAGTTTTGATGGTTTGATAGTGGACTTTGTTTTTACTTTTTGAAGTGTTATCTTTAAAAATGTTTTTGATCTGTTTTTTCAGGAAGTTGTACCCACTTTGATTAAAGTAGAATTTATCAACAAACTTTCTTTGTGTGGTCTACAAGTTGTTGAAGCAACAAGTTTCGTCTCTCCAAAGTGGGTTCCTCAAGTATGAGATTATTTATGTTTAATTATTTTAAAATATGTATTATTCATTACAAGGATTTCAAACACTTCAATGATAATGAATTAGTTATTAAAATAATCATGACTACATTATCTATGATGAATTGCAAGATAGATGATGAGTTTGGAAGATTGTAAAGTCTTTTTCTACTGTATGTTATTTTGTAAGACATGAACTATGTTCTGTAGGTAAGAATATCATGTGAATTTACAATAATTAGGTGTAATATTATGAAATAATTTTGATGGTTTAATGGTTTTTTTATCATTTCGAAAATGATGACATAATTTTGACGACAGAGTAGCAGATGTATTTTATTAATTTCGAAGATTGTGAAACATTATATAAGTTACTTAACATCATTTCTACATGTATTATGTAGTTTTGTGATTTCCATTATTTGATAGATGGGGGATCATAAAGACGTGTATGAAGCTATAACCAAACACAGAAATGTTTCGTATCCTGTACTTGTACCCAACGTGAAAGGATTAGAAGCAGCTGTAAGTTTTGTTGTGGATACGTCAGATGGAAAACAAAGTAAATACATCACACAGACTTAGATTGGTAGCAGGAGATTGTAGGCACAGAAATAACATTCTTTACTGTAGTAATTTGACACAGGTCTTGAAACATTTTCTTCTTTATGTGCATGCTCTTTTGTTCATGCACTTACATCCTGGTAAGTATTTGATGCAGGAGACTGGAGAGAGTTAACATTGTAAGTTGTTAGGTCTGTCATTAGATGCAGGAGACTGGATATATTTAACATTGTAAGTTGTTAGGTCTGTCATTAGATGCAGGAGACTGGATATATTTAACATTGTAAGTTGTTAGGTCTGTCATTAGATGCAGGAGACTGGATATATTTAACATTGTAAGTTGTTAGGTCTGTC